TTTACTTATCTATATTTTTGATTGCCATCTGAAATGTGAAAAAAAATTATTGTAAAAACAAAGGATTGCTGAAGGATTACTGCAGGTTTTGAAAGCAAGTAACCTGGCACTGATTTTAAGTGTCATTTACACAGATGCCTGTTCAAGCAGTAGCTGAAGTGCGCTTTGTAGATGAACTGGAGCCAAGGATGTTTGGATTCAGCCAGCAACAAGTAGCTGATTGGTCTGTGGATTAGTGACCAATTATCAGTGAAAAAGGTATACTGCCTGTCAACAGTGATGTGATTGGTTCGCATGTAGGTGAATAGTCTGGGCTGTGAACAAGATAATGAGAAGCCATGTGATCACTATCAGAGTTCTCTGCAGTGAAAGGCATTTAAGACTGAGGAAAGCTAGTTTATTTTTCCTTCAGCAGGTTCTGTAGGCTGTGACTTATAATTAATGAGTCAGAGTCCTTTTATAAGAGTGAACCAGTCACCCTTGTGCCTTCTGCAAACCAGTGAAAGTATCTGGAAAAGGTGGACTTATGACATTCTGGTCAATAGAAGAACCAATGCAGCAGATCCTTGAATAGGGTGTACTAAACTGCTTTACCAGTTTTTCTCTCCACCCGTAAAACACTTCTTTTCCTGTTCGTGTGTGCATGTATGTGTAAGGGAGTTTATAAGGAGATTAGAATTTTAACTGGTGTTATATGCTTGTTGTTCATAATTGTTTACATGTAGCTAGAGTCTATTTGTTTGTAATAAATATTAATTCCAGTTAAGTACAGCACCTGGTCTGTGCTTTCTATCAACCTGGATCTAAAAATCAAATTTGGGGGATTTTGTGTAGCTTCTAAAAATCTTTAACTTTTGTGACAACTCCAAAATAGCGGGGCTTGATTTTCAGTGTGCTACCCCAGTCAGGTGTTACAATCTCTACTGACCTACCCCTTAGCTTACTTTTGTAGTGCACTACAGCCACCACTGCTTTTATGGCCTTATAACTGGTCTTATTTAAGCTTGGTATGTGAGGTGAATGTAAAGTCGATGTTATTTAAGTCTAAGTTCAGAGCCCCTTCCTCTTTCTCTTCCGTGATGATCAGACCTTGGGCCCTAGTCTGTCCTTTTCCACCTTTGCTTTTTAAAGTAAAAAGACAAAAAAGTTTCATTTGTGAGTAGTGCCACTTAGTTTTTAATCATCATTTTTATTAATATTCATTTTTTAATAATTTTATTACTTTGACACTATTTTTGCACAAGCAAGTTATGTTTCATTTTTATGTTGAAATTCATTTTAATGTTGAGGCAAACTTGTCTTTCTGAAATTTTCTAATCAGCCCTTGAGTGAGAAAAAATTGAGCTGTTGCCTCTACCATCATAAAATTGGAGTGTCCTATTCTAGAGTATAATTGGAGCACCAAAGCTTTGCCAGTGACTGCAAAATCCAGACCCTAGTCAATGAAACTGTCACATCAGTGTAATGAAAGTGAATTTTTCAAAAATTTATTAGTTTGCTAAACTAATTAATAAATTGCATTAAATATTCAAAAATTATATGTCTAGAGTCCAACTAAAAGTTGGACATTTGGAGTGAGGGCTTGAATATTTTGGTAATGATTGAATAATAAAAGGGGATCCTGGATTTTCACATCCTCAATTTTCATTGATTCCCCTTTAGTCAGCCCTGCAGGCCATATGCTTTGGAATTTTTTCCCTAAAATAATCTACCTCTGCTTTTAGATATTTTCCTAATCAACATATAATTACGCACCCAAGGAGCAGGTGGGATTTGGACCTAGACCTCCTGGCTCAGAAGTAGGAACACTATCACTGTGCCACAAGAGTACCCTTCCACTGTTGCTTCTATCCTTAATTTGTAGCGCTCTTTAAAGCCTACTTATTTGACCAAATTTTTGGTCATCTTCTTCTTATTGCTGAGTTTTCTCATGAAATTCCATGACATGTTTAGTCTGTCGAAGGTGTTCTTTCAATGCAAGCTATTGTTGGATAATTGGTACGATAGGAATGTCACCGTGAGATGATCTTTTGAATATTGTTACAAAATACTATGATACAGGTACAATACTTGAATTTCAACAGAATAGATATTAATTGAACCATTCAGTTATCTGACTTTGTTAAACTGTCACAGGGAGAAAAATATTGCCTGGATCAAACAGCTTAGAACCTAGCATCTGCTGTACATTTGACAGTACATATACCACAGCTGACAGCAAAGGTACATATGGCAAATGATAATTTTCAGCAGGTGTTAACAATCATGAAACCTACTCTTGATTTTTTTCTTCCTCATATTTAATTTCCTGAGGGACATTAGATGGTTAACTAATTAGTTAGGCAGTTTGATGGATAGTTAATTCATCTCCAAAGATATGTTAAACTTTTCAATATCTATCTCTTTCACATGTGCGGTTGGTTTAACTCAGTTCACTGGATGGATGTTTTGTGATGCAGAATGATGCCAATAGTATGGATTCACTTACTGCAACTGGCTGAGTTTGTCATGAAGCACTCTTCTCAACCTTTCCCCTCCCCTGAGGCATGGCAACCTTCATGTTAAACCACCACCAGTCGTCACACTTTCTCATGAAGGAACAGCCCAGTAGTCTGGTAAGACTATGGTGACTTTACCTTTCACACATGTATCATTCACACTTGTCAGTAACAAAGGAATTTCATCTGCCAGGTGAGATATTTCCTTATTTCAGTCTATTTTTATTCCTAAAATATTTGACTTTGATGGTCCAGAAATGATATTGTAAATGGTACATACCGTCTAAATGAGTGATATAGACTGAATTCTTTCAGCATAAATACTTTAAACTAGAGGCTGAACTCATTTTAGTATTTAAGAGCTTAAAAATATTTAGGGGTTGAAAATTGTTGAGTCTTTTTAAAACAAAGTTGAAAATTCTTGAAATTTTTTAATAACTTCTAACATAGCCACTATTTAAAAAGAAAAGGAATTTGTCAAGAAGAGAAAATGGACTAGATGGTTGCTTCCTTTTGCATTAACCTTTCGCTCCCTTCTCAACAAATTTCTTGATCTCCTTTCTCACCAAAAAGACAATTGTTTGTAAATTGTTTTCCCCTTGATATATTCCCTTTTTTAAAAAAACATCTGTTTGACTTCCACTTTTATTCCTTGCTTTCTAATTTTTAATGCTTGCTTCTGTTATTCACACTGGTTGACATTTTAGCTCATTCCCTGTAAAGAGAAATGGCATATTTCAGTTTTGTACCTCATTCTGTATTATGATCTGTGGATCATGGTTTTGTTTAGCAAAATATTGTGCAGTAAAATGCTTACTCTGATCATGGGGTATGGTATCCAAGGTCTACTTATTGTTTGCTGAACTGAGAATATTTAGCACAAAAGCCAAATATTTATAACAGCACTTGAATAAAATGGGCTGGTTAGAATAACAACGTTGTATTTTGGATTTAGTTTAAATCACAATGAATGTTTCCTTTTGAAAGAAACTGCCCAGTAAGATAGCCTGGAATAATGATTAATGGGAAATCGTGTCTCACTGACTTAATTGAGTTTTCTGAAGAAGTGACAAAGAAAATTGATGAAGACAGAATGGACTTCAGCAAGGCGTTCGACAAGGTTCTGCATGGCTGACTGGTTAGCAAAAGTTAGATCACATGGAATCCAGGGGGAGCTAGTCAATTGGATACAAAGGTGGCTTAAAGGTAGGAGACAGAGGGTGGTGGTGGTGGAGGGGTTATTTTTAGACCAAAGGCCTGTGACAATCTGTGTGCCGCAAGGATCAGTGCTGGGTCCACTGCTTTTTGTCATTTATATCAATGAGTTGGTTGTGCTTATAGTCGGTATAGTTAGTAGGCTTGCAGATGACACCAAAATTGCTGATGTAGTGGGCAGGGAAGAAGGATATCTCAAGAGTACAATGGGACCTTGATCAGATGGGCCAATAGGCTAAGGAGTGGCAGATAGAACATAATTTAGATATACGTGAGGAGTTGCATTTTGGTAAAGCAAATCAGGACAGGACTTATACAATTAATGGTAGGGCTCTGGGGAGTGTTGCCGAACAAAGAAACCTAGGGATGGTGGTGCACAATTCCTTGAAAATGGAGTCGCAGGTGGACAGTGTGAAGAAAAAGGCGTTTGGCATGCTTGTCTTCATTGGTCAATGCACTGACTATAGTAGTTGGGATGTCATGTTATGGCTGTACAGGACATTGGTTCGGCCACTTTTAGAGTACTGTTTTCAATTCTGGTCTCTCTGCTATAGGAAGGATGTTGTTAAACTTGAAAGGATTCAGAAAAGATTTACAAAGATGTTGCTGGCATTTGAGAGTTTGAGCTTCAGAGAGAGGCTGAATAGGTTGGGGCTTTTTTCCATGGAGCATTGGAAGCTGAGTGGTGACTTACACAGAGGTTTATAAAATCATGAGGGGCATGGATAGGGTGAGTAGCCAAGGTCTTTTTCCCAGGGTAGGGGAGTCCAAAACTAAAGGGCATAGGTTTAAGGTGAAAGAGGAAAGATTTAAAAAGGACCTGAGAGACAACATTTTCATAGAGAATGTGTGTGTGTATGGAACGATCTGCCAGAGGAAAGTGATGGAGGTGGGTACACTTACAACATTTAAAAGGCATCTGGATGGTTACATGAATAGAAAGGGTTTAGAAGGATATGGGCCAAATGCTGGCAAATGGGACTTGATTAATTTAGGACATCTGGTCAGCATGGACAAGTTGGATCGAAGGGTCTGTTTTTGTCCTGTATAACTCTTGGACTCTATGACTCTATGATTAAAGGAAAAGCTTGGTAAACCAAAGGTGACAACTGTACCTAGCATAACTGGAACTGTGTGTTTGCAGTCTTGACTAGCTGTTTGTGATTAAGAAGCATGTCCACTTGAGTGGATTGGACTCTGAGCTTGCAGAACCTTTGTGGAGTGTGGAGGAGCTAAACTCTATCTATCAATTACAAAAGAGTAACATGTTGAATGTTTTTGTTGCAGACAGTTGTGTCATTGGAAGGTGACAAATTGATTCAGATTCAGAAATGGGATGGAAAACAAACAACACTTACTCGAGAAATCAAGAATGAACAGCTCATATTGGTATGTTGAAGAAAGAGCAAAATTTGTGTTTATATATTCTTTATCACACCTGAGAATCATGACTTACTTTAAATTAGGGGATTTATTCAATGAGATGGTGAAGCTGGGCATGAATTTCACGAATGATTGCACCCTTCAAGGCAAAGCATCTTCTGTTCCCCAGTAAATTAACTTTGAATCTAAATACAACCTTATACTCATCAAATTGAATGTCTGTACTTTAAAAAAAATTGTTCTTGGGATGTGGGTGTTGATGGCTAAGCCACCATTTATTGGACCTCCCCAGTTGCCCAGAGGACCGTTAAGAGTCTACCACGTTGCTGCGGATCTGGAGTCACATATAAGCCAGACCAGATAAGGAAAGCAGATTTCTTTTCCTGAAGGATAGTGGTGAACCAGATGGGTTTTTGCAATAATTAACAGTGGTTACATGATCACCATTAGCCAGTTGTTATATCTTCAGATTTTTGAAACAAAAACTGAATTCAAATTTCAACATTTACCACGGTGGGTTTCAAACCCATGTCCCCAAAACGTTACCCTGGGGTTCTGGATTACTAGTCTAGTGACATTGCTCTTATATCACCGCCTCCCCATAAATGAGAATGAGAAGGAGAGCCAATGTTGCTTTGCAGGTCAGGTGTAAACCAATTAGAGTATCATACCCTTGGGCGACTATCTGTGTGGGGTTTGCACATTTCTCCCCATGTCTGCGTGGGTTTCAGCCGAGTGCTCCAGTTTCTTCCCACAGTCCAAAGATATGCAAGTTTGGCAGATTGGCCATGCTAAATTCATAGATTCATAGAATCCCTACAGTGTGGAAACAGACCGTTCGGCCCAATAAGTCCACACCGCCCCTCCGAAGAGCATCCCACCCAGACCCATTATCCTACCCCTGATTTCCCATGTCTAACCGACCTAACCTAAACATCCCTGGGTGCTATAGCATGGCCAATCCACCTACCCTGCACATCTTTAGACTGTGTGAGGAAACCGGAGCACCCGGAGGAAACCCATGCAGACACGGGGAGAATGTGCAAACTGCACACAGACAATTGCCCGAGGCTGGAATCGAACCCGGGTCCCTGGTGCTGTGAGGCAGCAGTGCTAACCGCTGAGCGGTCATGTTACCCATAGTGTTCAGGAATGTATAGGTTAGGTTTGTTAGCCATGGGAAATGCAGGGTTAGAGGGATAGGGGAATGGGTTTGGGTGGAATGCTCTTCGGAGGGTCAGTATGGACTCATTGGGCCGAATGGCCTGTTTCCACACTGTATGGGTTATATTTTCTATTCTATGTTCTAAAGTGCTCCTTAATAAGCCTCCGTATTCCTCAATTTTGTACGTGGTGCACAAGTAATATACAGCGGAGGCAGTGGCACCTTTGTAATGTCACTGAACTCGTAATCTAGAGACCCAAATTAATGCTATGAGGCTTTGGATCAATTCCCACCATGGCAGATAGTGAACTTTGAATTAAATTAATAAAACATTAATTTAAAATCTAGTGAAATGATTACCATGAATCGATTGTTGTAAAAGTTCAACTGGTTTCCTATTAGGAAAGGAAATCTGTATTTTTACCTGGTCTGGCCTAGCCTAGATGTGCCTCCAGATCCACGCAGTGTGGTTGAGTCTTAAATGCCCTCTTAAATTGCCTAGCAAGCTATTCATTTGTTTTCGGACCTATTCTGACAATATCCAAGATAACATGATCACCATCCGTGTCCTATCCCACAGACCAACCAGAGGTAGTGGAGTCACGGGGCAGTGGGAATAGCATCAGGAGGGCATTCCTTTGGCAGTACTGAACACTTAGTCTGGAGTTCTCTATTAAGTCTCCTAATGTCCACCTACAACCTCACTCCACTCTTTATTGATGAATTAGAACTCTTCCATGATGAGTGGAACAAGCACTGAGGATGATGAGGACACAAAATATACTCTGAGTCGGGGACTTCATTGTCTACCACCAAAAGTGTCTCAGTAGCACCAATACTGAACAGACTGACTGAGTCCTCAAAGGCATAACTGTTCGACTAGGTCTGCAGCAGGTGGTGAGGGAGCCAACAAGATGGAAAAACCTCTTGACCTCATCCTCACCAATTTAATTGTCGCAGATGCATCTGCCCATGACAGTATTGAGAGGAATGATCACCGCACAGTACTTGTTTTCACACTGACGATACCCTTCATCATGTTGTGACTTACAGTGCTAAATGAGATAGACTCCAAACAAATGTTGCATCACAAAACTGGGTATATATAAACCATTGTTGCCCATCCACAGCGGCAGAATTGTTTTAAAAAAAATCTGTAACCTCATGGCCTCGCATACTGGCCTCTCTATATAATTATCATTAAATCAGGGGATCAATCCTGGTTCGATGAAGATTGTAGGACGCCATGTCAGGAGTAGCATCAGACAAAATTAAAATTAGTGTCAACCTGATGAGGCTGTAACACAGGATGACAGCATTCTCAACAACAGAAGCAGCATGTGGGAGACAAAAAATTTTATCAAAGCTCTGCAGTGCTGCCCTATGAAGGTCAGAAATGGGGATATTTTCTAAAGATTGTGCAATGTTCAGCATTATTCACCACCCCTTGATAATGAAGCAGCTGGTATTCACATCCAACAAGACCTGGACAACATCAAGTCTTGGGCTGATAATTGGCAAGTAATATTTGTGTTGCCTCTGTGCCAGACAATATCCTTCTCCAACATGAGAAAATCCAGTTTTCTCCCAGATATTTAATTGTATTACTGATCAATTCCCCAGTACAGTACCAACATTCTGGAGGTTACCATTAACCAGAAACTGAATCGGTCCATACGTATATATACTGTGGCTACAAGAGTAGGTCAAGGGCTGAGAGTTCTGTGATGGCTAACTCCCTCCAATGCCATTCCACCATTTAAAAGTCAGGACTGTAACGGAACATTCTTTAGAATTCTTAGAATTATGTAACTAGAATTATATTAGAATTATTTGAGAGGTAACAAGCAGAATAGATAAAGGGGAAGCAGTGAATGCATAATGCTTGGATTTCAAAAGATGTTCAGTAAGCTATTGAATGTTAGGCCACTTAAAAAGATACAGGCTCATGGCATTGGATGTAGTATATTAGCATGGATAGAGGATTTCATAACTAATGAAAGGAAGAGAGTTAGGATAAGGGGCCATTTTCAGGATGGCAACCTATAACTCATGGATGTTGCAGGGATCAGTGCTGGAACCACAGTTACTCGGAATACTTGAAGAGATGTTAATAAATGGGAAAGCAAATGGTGAGGTTGACACAAAAATATTGCAGAGAGATACAGACAGTTTAAGCGAATGGGCAAAACCTGGCAAGTGGAATGTATTATGGAATAATATGAGAGCACTTTGGCAGGAAGATGAGAGGAGCTGAATATTATTTAAATAGAGAAAGTCTGCAGAAGGCTGCAGAACAAAGGGATTTGGACGTCCTTATACATAAATCACCAAAAGCTAGCATACATGTTCACCAGGTAATAGAGAAGACAAATAGAATATTAGCCTTTATTTCAAAGGGAATATAGTATAAAAATCATGAGGTCTTGCTAAAACTACATAAAGCACTAGTCAGATCACAGCTAGAATATTGTGAACAGATCTGGTTCTCTTATTTAAGGAAAGATTCGGAGAGGACGTGACAGGATAGATGTGAAAAGGTTGGTTCTTCCTGTGGGAGATCTAGGACCAGAGGGCATAATCTCAGGAAAGGGTTGTCCATTTCACGAGGAATTTCTTTTCTGAGAGAGTTGTGAATCTATGAAATCCTTAACCATGATGGTGTAGAGGCTGAGTCATTAAGTATATTCAAGACTGAGTTAGACAGATTTTTAAATCAGTAAAGGGATCAAGCGTTATAGGGGAAAAGGCACGTTAGTGGAGTTGAAGATTATCAGATTAGCCAGCCTTTCATTGAGTGGTTAAGCAGACCCAATGGGCTGAATGACCTACTTTTGCTCCTACACTTCATAGTCTTATGGTATTCTCCACTTGCTTGGATGGATACAGTTGGGAAAAAACTAAAGAATCTCTACACCATCCAGGACAAAACAGCCCACTCAACTGCCACCCTATTTATCACCTTCAACATTCACCAAACGTGCAACCTCTGCAAACAAGAAGGTCAAGAGCAGCAGATGCATGTGAACATGACCACTTGCAAGTTCACCTTCAAGCCATCCCCCATAATAACTTGGAAATATATTGTTGCTCCTACATTGTTGCAGGAACAAACTTTTGAGTACTCCTTTCCTAACAGCACAGTGGGTATACCTACGCCTCAAGGACTGCGCTACTTCATGAAGGCAGATCACTACCACTTCAAGGGCAATTAGGGATGGGCAATAACATGTGACACGTACATTGCATGAATGAATTTAACAAAAAAATCTATTTCTAGTATTATCCATCTGGTATGCTGCAATTGTCATTGCCTATTTGCAGCTCCTTCAGGCCAGGTTTGTTGGTTCATCTCACTTTAAATGAATTGACAGGGCAAAATTGATTTCATAAGAAAATGCATCTTCTTGTAACTTTGCATTTAAACTGAAGTTTGCACAGTTGACTCACCAAAAAATTGTTTTCTAACATTGTATTGTTTATTTTTTTCTAGACTCTTACATTAAATGATGTGGTTTCCGTTCGCACCTATGAGAGGGAATTTGTGTGAGAAAATGCCTTTCTGCACATTGCTATACTGTTTGATGAATCTCCTTATGTAATAACTTTACATAAAAATAAATTACCATCCTAAAATACAGATGTCCCAATACTTTACCGGTGATGGTTTAATGTGAATTATGAATTTTTTTCCATGAATGCGGCCTTCGTCATGGACCTTTTGTGATGTGCACTATGAAATAACAAAAGGTTCAATGATCCTACCAGCAGATTGTATATAAGTTGTTCTTGTACTCTCCCAATTTGTTTATTTTTAGTCTTAAATGATTTAAACCCCAGAATCATCAGTGCTGACCCAGGCATATCAATAGCATATTTTTTGAGATAAAATGCTCAAAATTGCAATACAGTTTAGTGTTACTACTATGAGGACTCATTCTGACGTCATATATGGGATGCACAAAATTCTACTTTTTAAAGATGAAATGAAAATTTGTTATGACTGTCCGCATGCATATATTCAGCAAGCATATTGGATGCACAGCAGCCACGGAGCTAAATAAATGTGCAACAACATTAACCATGTTCAATCACACGTTGAGCTTGTAACCTGCATGTTAACTTCCAAAAAATGTCAAATTCTTTTCTCTGTGGAATTTGAATTCAGTTGTTATATCTTGAATTAAGGGCTAGATTAATATCGATCACAAAACCCTTACTGTAAAAATCCATCTCATTTATCAATGCCTTTCATGGAAGACCAACCATCCTTGCCAACTTTGTCCTACGTGTGTCTTTAGATCCATGACAATATGGTTGACTTGTAACATCCCTTTGAAATGACCAAGCAAATCACTCAGTTTTATTAAACCCCTGTGAAGTTGAAAGGAAGGAACAAAACCAGTTAGATTATGTGTCTTCCACAGACACCAGAAATGAAAACAGCAGCGCAGTCCTCTTTACTCTACGAAGTGCTCCTTTCTAATATCTGAGGGCTTTGCTAAAATTGGGATAATTTAAAAACAATTAAAAAATAATAAAGCAGCTGTACCACAAGTGTACAAATTGCCTACCACACTACTAAGATCCCAGCTGATGGTAATACTAGACAAGTCAGATCTCCGAATGAAACCTGGCTTGATAGATCATTAGTTTTATTTTTGCAGTTTGTTTACTGTGGTGGCTAGGTCACTGAACATTGTTACATGATGCTTTTTTTTTAAACAAAAGAACATAGGTTTATTACACACAACAAACAAAAATCAAAGCTTTATGTACAGTACAATTTAGATTTTAACATGAATAACAAAGTGTAATATTCAGTTTTTAGTCATTCAGTCACTGTGAAGTATCACTTCTGTCATAACTCTCTAATTTATTACTCAGATGACTTTTCAGTTTTTCTTCTTAGACTGTTGAAGCAACTTAAGGTTTCTTTTTGGTTCTGATGACCTGAAGATTCATTTCCAATTTTCACAGCCTAGGGATATGTACAAATTACAAAACTGCTCATCTGTTCCTCCTCAACTCAACCTGCTGATGGCTGTTTACAATCAGCTTCTATATTATGAAGCTCAACTTGGCAAAAAAATTGGCAACTAATTCCCCATATAACTGATCAAATCATTTAAGTCACATTCTTTCTTGTAAAAACTGTCTTTACTCCAATGCCCAAAATGACTTTATAACCAATATTATTGGAATTTCATGAGCCACGCAAAATTTTAGTACGATACTACCTGGTGGACTGCTGTCCCATTCATCACCAACTGCTATCTCAGGTGATCTCCATATCTTCATTTATCTTTTAAAGAATAGTGTTCAGGTATTATTTTGGATTAAATTTCTGAGTAGACTGATATATTTCTGTCAATTCAGGATCTATCTGTTTTGTTTCTATTGTAGAAAATATGCTAAACGTGTCAGCATTGTTATCTTCTCCTTTTGTAATTTTATACACAAGACCACTTGTTGACCTTTGTTAAAGTCACCTTCATACAGTTGCAAACTTAAAACTATTTTTCTGCCTCTTTCAAATCCAAGTTCCCACGTAATAATGATATACTACAAGTCAACAACACAATCAGCTGAAAAGGTTATCCAAGAATAATTACTTCGACATTAAAACTCATCATCTGAATTTAAAGCTCACAATGAGACCTTTAAGTGATTCAGGGACGAGACTTCTTGAGCAGAAGAATTACTGGAACAAAGACCATCGTTCAAAACTCATTATTTGTGGAGGATTGAAATCTCCCTATCTACGTAAAAGCATAACAGGGGAATTCTGCCAAAGGACTACCAAAATACTCTGTTAAAAATAGATCATCCATATGTGGGCCGACATCAACCCCATCATGTGAAATGCCATGATAATAAGCTTGTGTTTTTAGGTGCAGAAACAGTAAGCTTCAGCAATATCAAGAAGAAGGATTCTCTCCCTCTCTTTGCAAGTGGCATACTGAGTTCTGAAAATGTGATTAGCTGTGCGGGAAACCATGACAGTGAATGATCTTTTAAACTGTGGAAATCTGCTCTGTGTAACTACATTGAGTCATAGAGAAGGACAGCATGGAGACAGACCTTTCGGTCCAACTCGTTCATGCTGACCAGATGTCCTAAATTAATCTAGTCCCATTTACCAGCATTTCGCCCATATCCCTCTAAACCTTTCCTATTCATATACCGTCCAGATGCCTTTTAAATGTTGCAATTGTACCCGCCTCCACCACTTCCTCTGGCAGCTCATTCCAAACACACATCATCCTCTGCATGAAAATGTTGCCCCATCCAAGGGAATTGTTATTTCTTTTCAATTCTACCTACCTTCCCTCATCTTTTACTTTGTTCTGTTTGTTTGCATGATTGTTTGTGTGGGTCCATCATGGAACTCAATACGGGTTTCATCTTTTATAATGTTTGTACTTTTATTGAGTGCGTTTATAGTAAAATTAACTTTTAATTTGGTTAGTTCAAGAGATCTGATTGGCATAGTTCTTCATAGTTTTACACATGTTCACATTAGTGTTGAACACCTTTTGAAACCTTCAAACTCTGTATAGTATCCTAAGGAGTAGAAAGAGAGGAACTTATTCACATGTCTAGACTTGATCAGAACAATAGACAAAGCCAAAAGATCCAACAATGAATAGATCATATCTAAGCTCGGTAATACCTAATTGTTATCATGCACCAAACTTCATCTTGTTCAAGACAAGAACCTCTTCTTATTAGACTAACTAGTGATTTTCCTCCAAGGCAAAGCTGATCCTCTGGATCCTAACCTAAAAGGAGGAATGTGGCAACTAATCTACCTTATAGTGACAGAGAGTCCAGTAAGCTCATACAACATTGTTCCAGAAGCAATCTTTTGAAGATTTAATTAGCTGCTCCATTACCTCCAGCACATTAATATAAGGGACAAGACTGAACTATTTACAACCATCCTCAGCCAGAAGTGTTGAGTAGATGATCAATCTTAGTCTTCTCCTAAAGTCCTCAATATCATAATGTCAGTCTTCAGCCAATTCATTTCACTCCACATGATAGCTAGAAACAATTGAAACCACAGGAAACTGAAAAGGCAATTATTTCTCTTTATGTTCTGACAATAATACTATAGACTTGTGGCCAGGGGCACAGCCTTTACAGTATCCAGCACCTGTAGCCATTTCTAGATATCACATGGAAGAATCAAATTAGCTGAAGATTGGCATCTGTGATGCTGGGGTCCTACGGAGGAGGCTGAGATGGATTATCCACTTGATATTTCTGGCTAAAGATTAATGTAAATGTTTCAGCCTTTTTGCATTAATGTGCTGGAATCACCCATCATTGAGAATGGGGATGTTTATGGAGCCTCCTTCTCCAGTGAGTTGTTTAATTGTTCACCACCATTCACAACTAGATGTAGCAAAACTGCAGAGTTTAAATCTAATCCATTTATTGTGGAATCGCATTGCTCTGTCTGTCACTTATTGCTTAAACTGTTTGGCACACAAGTAGTCATGTTATGTAACTTCACCAGACTGATATCTAATTTTCAGTTATTCCTGGTGCTGCTTCTGACATGCTCACTTGCACACTTCATTGAACCAAGGTTGATTCCCTTGTCTTGAAGGTGATAATGAAGGGATGTGCTGGGCCACAAAATTAAAATTGTGTTGGAGTACAATGTGGCTGCTGCTGATGGCCCATTGCACCTAATGGACTTTCCCTTCACTTACCCCTTGTCACAGAGTTCTTACCACGTCTGCTCCTCTCAGTGATTTTGACTGCTTGTCTCGGGATCTCCAAGTTGCCAGTTCTGCTCGGTGATGCTGTTTGCCTGTCTTGAAATCTTCACCTTGCCTGTCCTAATTAGCCAGAAAGATTAATTATGAACACCATTAGTTAAATCAATAAGACAAGAGGGGTAACCATTAGAAATGATAACAGGACTCTTGGCTCACCCATGCACAGGAAGTTTTATCTTCCCTGATAAATTAAAAGCTTCAAACCTCCCACAGTCTTTGATAATAAATCATGAGCAATTGAATAAGGTTCTAAAAATGAACAATGCCTAGCTACTCACCAAAGCATTTTGGTATCATAGATATCATAAATGTTAGCTTGTCTAAATTGGATAATGTAATGCTATTGAAAGTCTTGTAAATATAATAAGCACTTACTGAGACTCATTTCTGCAAATTTAGATAATAAATTCATTCTGAGGTTTAGTCTTACCAAATGAATGGATATCTTCATGAAACATTTGTTTCCTGTAAATAACAGCTGTTTCAGAAGTTGGTTGAAACAATTATAGTTAGTGACAAGGAATCCTGAATAACTGCGAGTTTTATGAGCTGAAGACACAGCAGCCTTATACTAAACAGTAAGCCTTAAAGTTACACTGCACTGTTATGTAATGCAGAGTATCTGTAAAACAGAACTGAATGAGCCCACAGGAGGCATAAAAGCAATATGTATATATGCGTGTAGGAAGAGGTGAAATGGAAAGGATATTTAATGTCTGCTATTTCTCTTTGCCTCTCCCGTTCTGTCAATCAAAGCAACAATACATCTCAGCCAAGTTGAATGAGCAGAGATTGAGA